GTTTGTGGCAGCCCTAGTCTGTAAGTGTGAAGTGCTTTGAGTGTCCTGGATGGATCGAAAGGCGCTAAGTACAGTCCATTTACCATTTACATTTTACTTCTGTTGTATTAAGTGATTATTGTTAACCATAATCGAGGCTAAAAGTCTCTGTTTGTTCCGAGTCACCGTCGACAAGTGACCAGCTGAGCTCCTGTGCAACTTCTCCACCTTCTCCCGAAATCCGCACCGGCTGCCTCGACATCCAGGTTGAGGAGGCAGCTAGGAGAGAGGAGCTGCTCCAGTTACATTTGGACTTTGAAGTCTGGGTTTTTTTTTTTTGTTTTGTTTTTTTTGTGATTTTGTGTGGTTATGTCTCATCCAACTTTTATTTTGTGCAATAAAGCTACTATTGGAGAAGCTATTTGTTTATTTTTCTTTGAGTAATAAAAAAGCAGTTTACTCACTCTGATAAGCATGCAGTAACTGCAAGTTCATTTTGATGTTGCTTTGCCACATCAATAACCAACGGTTTGATGTAACAGCTTTGAATACTATTTACAGATTAAAATTACTTTTACAGTTAAAACAGTTACCTACAGCTTTATCATTAATATTAGTTTTATTTTTTTCTCAACAAATTTCAAAATGTGCTGACTCACAACCATCCTGCATAAAAAGTAAACTTTCTGAATTGATTTATATATGTATATATATTAACAGACCTAATGGTTAGCAGCACTGAATGAACAATGATAAACAGCTGCTTCAGCGACTCCATGTTAACTGTACCATCCACTTTTGAAAGCTGTTACTGCCTAATTTGTATTGACGATCCTGACCACAGAGAGGGGRCACAAGTTACAGCAAATCACCTACACCTGAGAAGAACTGATCAGAAGAGAAGAGGAGCTGAGTGCCAAAGAGCCTGTSGAGTAGCTGAATCATGGTCAGATAAATTTAGACCAAGGGCTGCATTTGGCCCATGGACCTTCAGTTTGTCATGATTTGGAGAGTAAGCTCAGTTATTTTTCACAGACTTTTATGAACATATTCTCAAACTGACTAGTTTCAAATGAAAAAAAAAAGCAAAAACAATGTAACTACTTTAATAGTTTATTTAAAGCTACTATGCAGCACAGAGGTGGACATCTGAGCAGAACAAAGGGAACACTGAGATTGTCCACATCTGGAGGAAAAATACAGATGTCACAGTTAGAAAGTCTAAGAAGTGGCTGAATTATTGATGCCAGCTGGCTTTTCTGGGCTCCACAGTGGAGCGACATCATCGCATTAAAGGCTAACATTTTCAGAAGGAATGTAACCTTCTTGTTTGTTTGCTACAGAACTTCCTTCAATGGTATAAAAAAGGACAGGAAATGACTGCAAGGTGTTGTTGAATTGTGCAGTAAGATTTTTTTTTTCTGGCAAGAACAGCCTGATCCCTGCCAAGCTGAACTGTAAACAGTATCAAACTTATTTGCACTTTCATCACCAACATTATTTAAGATTTGATTGCACACTTCCAGAAAGTGTATGAACTGATGACCCCTCTCTAAGGGGAAAAAAATAATTAATCGTCCTATACTGTAATTCAGAACAAACCTTTTTAAACAATAAACAATGTATGCRGATAGGATGAATTTAGAGGACGTAAAACACAAATGCATTCCTTGAAGGAATGCATAACATCCACTGCYTTCCATGTGAAGAGTTTTGAAACAAGATATTTGAGAGTTGTAGCCATTTTTGTTGAACCTTTGAACATTTGTTGAATTTTTGTAACATTTTGCACAATTTAATGCTATATTAAAAAGTCACACTCAGACTATGTGCTGTGAATCACTTTCAACTACTACCACATTAATTTTTAGCTCAGTATCCATAAATGATTGAGTTCTTTCAATTTTTGCATTTGCTAATGTCAGTAAGATTTACCAGCCATCTTAAATTGGATTTAGGCCAAAAGTTAATCATTTGTAAATGAACATCAAAGGATTATTCCTGTAAGTTTCATTTAAATCCACGGACAAGTTCATGAAATATTTTGCTAACAGACAAACAGCATTAACTTCAACAGATTTTTCTAATGTCTTTAACCAAATATCTTTCATAATATGTATTTGGTGTGTGTGTGTGTGTGTGTGTGTGTGTGTGTGTGTGTGTGTG